GGTTGCTCCCCACTGAGCTCACTGCCCGCCCAGGGCCAGTGCGGCGCCTCAATGGACCTACGGAGACCTATAACTACCTACGCTGAAGGATGATTCGCCAGTTTCTTCAACGGAAATGCCGTAGAGCTTCACTGATTGGTGGGGACGAGGCAGGTGAGAGCAGATGGTTGACTGGGGTTATGGGCCGACCAGACGGGAATGACGACATGCTCGGGCGCGAAACACCTGGAGCGGCAGACGGCCCGGTCGATTTGCCTTTCAATGCCATGAACGAGACGCGTTGAAGCTGTCCTCTGCGCCATGGCACTGTCGATGGTCATCAAGTGCATTGAACTCACCCCGAAGTATCGGCTCGCGGTGATGGTGTTCAGCGACATATGGCAGATGGCGCTGACAGTGTGAGTGGCATCGCAGCAGGCATAGAGCCTGTCTCTGCCGTGAAGAAATGGCAGGGCTTGCCTGGTCTGACCTTTTAGCCCAATCACGACCGTCGGGCTGTGTCGTTGATAATTTCTCTACAGACGAGTTGAGTTTGTACAGCATTCATCGACTTACGAGTAATAAGCCACGAACCTCAGCCTCGACATGGTGATGAGTAAGTGCGGTGACATGTGGCTGGGTGCATTGTTCTCAACCTGGCAGAGTTCTTCTCTATACTCCGTATAGCCTGGACGATTGTGTAGTTTACAATGTTTTTGACTCTGGCCTTCGCTTGGTTCCAGCACGACAAGAATCGGGGTAAAAGGGCACAGCCATGCCAAACGAGATTGCAGTATGAGAGCTTGCCCGTGGCAGTGCCCGAGAACCCACGCGTTTCGAGTCATTAAAATAAAGCCCAGAGGGTTTGAATCCTTCTGTTTGAATGGCGGGTGGATGGTGCGACGTTGCTCGAACTTAAACGGTGCCTTTTCTCGCCTCTGTCTTGTTGAAACAAAACAATGAACGATAGTAAGCTTGTAATATAGCCTCATCTCATTGGTGATATCGCCAACTCTTGGCCGTAACTTCGATTCAACATGCCGACCCTCTAAAAATCAGGTTCGCAACAGACCCAGTCTGATTATGTTCCATCAAACGCACCGCGGTCATCTTGCTCGATTCGGAGGGGGCCAGAGGGAAATTGCGAGATTAGATTAGATTCGTGGAGGGGGAAACATCCTCGTCGCCCACTTCAACAGGGACCTGTCTTGCCCTGGGTGTGTCCGTCGATCTTTTTTCCTCTCAAGGTGCGACATCATTGTGCCAAGGAAAGAAACCAACTCGGCGCCGCGACTCCAGTCTCTCTCATCTTCAGGCGAGTCGACGGGACGGGACAGGAAGGACGGACGGACGCCCGGGACGCGGCATCAGCATCGTGTAAGTGAGCTCCCGACAACGACTGTTTGCGCGACGTCCAATACGAGCCCTTATCGCGGCCAACAGTCGTCTAGAACCCGTCACTTTGGGCGTGGTGCGGTACTCCTTGGCTTAGACTGTTCTCGTGCATGCTTGGGCCGTTTGATATGTCAGGGCCGCAAGGCGTGGGGGGAACACGGCAGCTGCACAGCATTCTTAGGCACAAGTCTGCCGGGCCTTTGTTCAAATCAAATCGAACTTTCCAAGCTTTCTTCCGTCACAAACTCCACACAGCGCCGTGTCCCATGTCGAAGCCCCAAGCTGTTCGGGGTTTAGGAGGAACATTACGTACATCTGTGGAGCGGCATCGACGGCTACCCCAGCACGCGCTCAAAAACCGCGCGAGGTTGAGAATGAGTTGGAAATGTACGGATACAATTGAAGAAAAAACCACCAACTCCGGACTTTGAGGTTCTATCCTGAGACGTTGGTGTATCTGAACAGACCATAATTTGTGTACTATGGCTCCAACGGGGAAGAAGCCGAGCGGATCGTGGATCCGTGACCCATTGTCAAAGAGGCAGTGAAGAGGTTCCAAGTGGATGCTGAAGGACGGCATCGCCAGACAGCTCCCCAGTTCCGTCATTTGGACGAGGGAAGGGGTTTGAAAAGGGGCCCCCCCAGTGTTTGTTTCAACGGGAGCGAAAATTCATCCCATGCATCCCAGAGCCGCCAAGCTTCACCTTTCTCTATCCAGCAGTGCCGTTGGTTCTGCGAACGGGCTCGTTGCGCGATCCGTCACTAGCAGCGAATCGGGACGGCATGTGGGCGTGTCATCCCAATGTGTTTCTTTGGTGATGGGAAGTGACGCATCCTTCGTCAAGGTGACCGTTGGGCATCTCGGTGTGCGGCAAAGATTCGCACCCCGAGGATGCTGAGGTCGCATGCACAACAGCCAATACTCATTTCGTGAAAGTGCGGGTATGTGCTCCAGCAGCGGTTTCTCAGCACGACGTTTTTGCAGCCCCGGTGCAGCCCCCTCGTCTTAAAAGCGTTCAATATTATGCGTTTCGGCGAGCCGTTCTCCGAGTGAGAGGGGAGAAGAAGCAAACAAGGGACTCGGACTATGGATGGCATGGCAAGGCGCCCCATGAGACTCCTCCCAAAAAGAACGTCAATGGGCCAGGGTCAGATGCAGGTACAGCGCACCGTACGCGGGCGACGAACCACGACAGAAGCGCACATCTGCATCAGGAATGCGCTGTATTGTCCTGCTGGCTGGGTTTGCGTGTGCGGCGTCGGTGGAAAAAAGGCTTGTCGTGGGCCTAGCGGCGGAGAAGAATACGAGGCGCAAGTAAGCCTTTGTGGGCTTATGGCCTGCGGGACGAGACAATATGGACTGGGTGACGCAACGTCCTTGGTTGACAGGATCTCGGTGGTCCAGTTGTCAGTTCGAGTACAATCAATTGTCTGGCCGAGGGAGAGGGCGATTGCGATCCATGGCCCTGGGCCGGGTCTCGTTTGGGTGGTGGGTGGTGTGGTGAGGGTGAGGATGAGTGGGATGACGAAACGGGTGAGATTCGTGGCACCATTTTTAGCTTTCATGGTTGAGCTTTCTTCTTTCTGTGCCGCTAAAACATTTCGAAAGAATGGCAGGGACAAACCAAACGTGATTTTCGGATGTCTCACGGAGCGCCCCCCCCC